TGTTGATTGTTTTGCATTGTGTATCCACGATTAATATTGTGTTTCTGGAAATTTGATTTTATGTTGTTATATGTTTATAAATGAATTTGATTGTTTCTCTGAATTTTTTTTACTATTGTTTATAAATGNATTTCATTATTTTAATCAAAGTATTTTAATTTTCATGGAAATTTATTGTTGAGTCTTTTCGAACTTAGTCAAATTTATAAGTTCATAATTAAATTTCATTCAAATTTTGAGGTGATGATAAAATCTTCAGTGAAAAAATAAAATTTAATCAGCCATTTTTTACTTCAGTCTATTGTTGAACGAGTGGCAATCGGAATACATGAACAAGGATCGTATATCACCAATTTTATCACGTATCACCTCATATGTTATATGCCTGAGATAATCATTGCGTACCTATTGTTATTACAGTTTTCGTTATCGTTCACTATTGTTGCCGAGCGAATTCGTTAGTCAGTGACGGGTTAATGCTAATAAGGTTGTGCTTTATGCTTGCAATTTTATTCATCTTGTTGATTGTTTTGCATTGTGTATCCACGATTAATATTGTGTTTCTGGGAATTTGATTTTATGTTGTTATGTGTTTATAAATGAATTTGATTGTTTCTATGAATTGTTTTACTGTTGTTTATAAATGAATAATATGTTGTTTCGTAATTCAGTGTGACGCGAAATACAACAGTATGATCAACATTACCCATTGTAGTCACTGAAGTGAAAGTATTATTCGTTTATGAAGTTATATTTCAAGAAATTGCACTTTTCATATGCTATAATCTTTAATTTTCATGAAGTAGAAGTCATACTCTTTAAGATGATAATCGGGAGACGTTATAGCGTTGACAAGATTTGAGGGTAAGGGTCACTTGAACATGACGTATCTGATGCTTATCAACAGTATCAGCATGATAGTATAAGCCAAAGTATGCAGTGCGATCTCAAGCAACTGCATTTTCTGTGCAACAAGACAGAGTTTCCTTAAAGCACAAGTCACACATAAAGAATTATTTGACACGATATGAGGGTAAAGATCATATTCGATGTCTCTAGTGATTATCAATGGGTCCGAATGAATCAAAACGCGATCACAATTATATCTCAAGTAGTTGGACGTATCGTGCAGTAAGATAAGAACTGCTTTTCTTGAACTAGAAGCCGTCAGTAGTACCTCCAGGATCGCTTAACTACGGTAACTAGCTACGCCCACGAATTATGGTATTATAAAGTAATTTGTGGGCGTGGCTAGTTACCGTAGTTAAGCGGGCCTGGAGGTACTACTACCGTATTCTCAAGTTTGTCCAGAAACATGTAAATTTCTTTACCCCGTTCGACCTAGCGGAATCGCTTTATTCAGAAAAATACATTTATTGCTGAGTAATTTGGCTTAGTTGCGGAGATATAGGTATTTTCTCGGTGCTATACGGGTTGCCACCTTCGGGCCTACGGTAATTTCATCGTTCATATACTTCCAATCATTGTAAGAAAATATATACATTATTCCAGCGTTATGGAGATTACCATCTTCAAGGTAACCGTACACTCAGTTTTCACTGGTAACATATGAATTTCTCTGCATCATTCGATTGCTCAGAATCTCTACTTTCACAATATCATATCTTTCGCCGAGCAATTACGAGTAGGTGAGGAGATGTAGCTATTTTCTCAATGTTACATGGGTGGCCATCCTACAAATTACGGTATTATAAAGTAATTTGTGGGCGTAGCTAGTTACCGTAGTTAAGCGGGCCTGGAGGTACTACTACCGTACTCTCAAGTTTATCCAGTAACATGTGAATTTCTTGGCAACATTTGATCCAACGGAATCTTTACATTCAGAAAAACATACATTTCGCCGAGCGATTTTGCTTACTTGAGGATATATAGCCATTTTCTTAGATCTATCTCAAATAGATAACGCAGTCGCGCTCATTCATACAAATTGATCACCACATATCAATGAATACATTCATATAGCAATAGGCGGATTGCTATCTTCGAGCTGACCATCTTCTTAGGTTTAACCGGAAACATGTGAATTTCTTTTCACCGTTCGATCCAGCAGAACCTTTAGATTCAGAATGTTATAAATTTCACTGAGCAATTTGGCTCAGTTGAGGAGATATAGGCATTTTATTAATACTATCTCAAGGCAATACGGGTGCCACCTTCAAGGCTACCGTATTCTCAAGTTTGCCCAATAGCATACGAATTTTTGTGCACCATTCGATCCAATGGAATCTGTACATTCAGAAAAACATATATTTTGTTGAGCAATTCCGCCTTCTTGAAGAGATGTAGCCAATTTCATAAGGATCCTCAACAACAGGCGTAAAATCGCCGAATCATATACATTCTATCACTATAGATCAATCAATGCGTTGCTATGGCTCTATAGATGTTACCATCATTAAGGGATATAGCTGATTTTGTGATGCTATTTCAAAACCGTTGAGCCATTCAGTAAAACCGCCAAACTCTGCACACTTGATCACTTCAACGTGATCAATGATGCAGTTCTATAGGATTATCATGAGCAACATCTCCAACCTAGCCACATTCTCTATTACCGATAAAACCTAAGAACAGCATTAGTTTGAAAATGGCATTCCTAATACTGCTAACATAGTATATACTATATGGTGTATTGAAATGAGTGCCGCCGACGTGACGTGTTTCAGAGAGTCAGTTGTTGCTTGGAATGCAAACAAAATCACCCAATAGCGTAGATTCTTTTCTGAAAATAGCGAAACTGCGGAATCTTATGCTGTGAATTGCTGATGGTTATTAACCGACGGTCGCCCGGAATTTCGACAGCCGGACTTCGAGCGAACATTTTCGAAGGACCGTCGAATTCCAACAGCCATAAATTCAAAATCTTAATTCTGTTGGATTCCGACCGAATCNAGTAGATTAATGACCACTGAATTATAACATTCTGTTAATTTATGCTAGTGACATTCTCTGCATTTTTCAATTTTGCCTTTTTTTCCTCCGATAATAAAATTTACTGAATATATCGATTACTAGCAAAATAAAATGACCAAACTCGCAGTTATTTCACTGCAGTTTTGCCCCCCGTAATCGAGTACGGTATAATGCAGGCATATTGGCACACTGTGATTGGTTGAAGTCCACTGTGGGAGTACGGTAGCATCTAACGTCTATTGGTTGACTTACGATTAGCGCCATGTTTCGGAGGAGGTCAATTTGCAACGTTTGCATCCAAATTATTTCTGTTGGTGAAATGATAAAATAACGGTTTGGCAAAGTGACTCAAATCATTTCGTGAATTTGTTTTAATTCGAGCAGTTCAGCTGGGATTTGTTTTTGTTTTTGCCTTGTACATCTGGATTTAAATCAACGTGGATTGTTGTATGCTGCATCCGAATTAAATTCTGTTGTTCTCGTTATTCCCTAGTTACTGTCTTTATTTCTCGATTATGACTGTCTTTATTGCGGTATTCTTGATGATACTTTCGTCGAAACTAACACATTATATGAATATATGAATGGACTAAAGTTTTCACTCATACCTGACCGTAAAACGTTTTTCATATGGGGGCTTTCAGTGCTCTCATATTACGGGTGTTTCAAAGGTGCCCTCTGGAAGGTTTTTGTATTCTCCAGAAGGCTTCCTGAGAAGAAACTCTCTATTGGCTGACTTATGCTACAACTTTGGAATAATACCCGAGAAATGGCGTTTAAATTCACATCTGATGATAGCAAGCATAAGGTAATCATTATAGTCTGTCATTTTATCATAAACGTACTTAGCTTCGATTCTCTCTAGTTCAGTGATTTCCAAATTGATAAGTATTTTCAGATCTTCACGCTTTCTGAGGAGGAATTCAAAGAGCCAATTCAAGATGAATACGCCAAAGAAATCGGTGCATTATCACCTGCTGAATTATACGACAATTATAATCCAGGTTTCAATCATTTTAGGCAAAATTCAATCGTGTTATTTTGATAGCCATTAAATTGCTGGTTGAA